CCACGCGAGTGAGCAGGTAACCTGGCTCCGCCGAGCGGGGCAGCACCTCGCGGGCTGGAGTCCCGTTGCGCCCGGGTAAGGGCGCCACGATGGCAGGGGCGTTGTCGTTCTGATCCACTATGAGGATGTTGACGGTGGCATTCCCCGCCAGCGCCTGGGGGCTGCCGGCGTCCCGGGCTTCCACCTGAAAGCTGAAGTCCTTAAGCTGCTCGTAGTCGAAGGATCGCAGGGCGTACAGGTAGCCATTCTCAGAGTTGATGGACACGTAGGTGAAAACGCTCATGCCCTGGATCTGGCACTCGAGGATAGAGTATTCTATCTTGGCGTTGGCCCCCTCGTCGCGATCTGTGGCGCTCACCGCGTAGATGTAGGCGCCCGGCACGTTGTTTTCGGTCACATACACGTCGTAGACCGGCTGGCTGAAGCGCGGCGCGTTGTCGTTCACATCTGACACTTGCACCTGGATCGACTTAGTGGTGGAGAGCGCCGGCTCGCCCCGGTCCCGGGCCACCACGGTCAGCGTGTAGGAGTCCCCGGCCTCTCGGTCCAGGGGGGCCTCCGTCACAATGGTGTAGTAATTCTTAAAGGAAGACTTGAGGCGGAAGGGCACGTCCCCCAGCAGCTCGCACTGCACCTGCCCGTTCTCCTCCGAGTCGCGGTCCGTCACGCTGAACAGAGCCACCACGGTGCCGGGCGCCGCGCCCTCGCTCACCGCCTCCTTCACGGTGCTGAAGCTGATCTCCGGCGCGTTGTCGTTGGCATCCAGCACTCGCACCAGCACCTTGCAGTGCGCAGGCACGGCGTTGGGGCCCAGGTCCTTGGCTTGCACATACACCTGGTACACCGGGCTCTCTTCATAGTCCAGCTCACCGCTCACCTCCAGCCTGCCGGTGCGCGGCGAGAGTCCAAAGAGCTCCCGAGCCCGGGGCGAAATGTGGCTGCTGAAGGAGTACACGACCTCTCCGTTCTGGCCCTCGTCAGGGTCCGTGGCGTTGAGCTGGATCACTAACGTGCCCGGGGGCGAGTTCTCCGGTAGGGACACAGTGTAGACGGGCTGGTCGAAAGCCGGCACGTTGTCATTGGAGTCCAGCACTCGGATAGTGAGTAGGGCCGTGCCGGTGCGCTGCTGCTGGGGGGGCAGGCCCACTCCCCCGCCTCCTCCCCCTCCATGTCTCATTTTTATTCTGAAGTATTCATATTTTTTGTCTTTTTAGAGAAAAATGTTGATCTATTTTCATTGAAAGTTATTATTTATAAGTAAACAAATACTCTACTCCTACATTTTGTTATCGTTTTTCTGGTTGCCATGAATATATACCAGGGAGAAGTAGCTGTTGGGGGTGATCTCGTAGTCGCGCAAGGAGTTGGTGCCCACGTCTGGGTCGAAGGCGCTCTCCAAAGGGAAGCGGGTACCCGGCGTGGCGCTCTCAGAGATTTCCACCGTCAGGTCCGGCTCTGGGAAAGAAGGGGGGTTGTCATTTATGTCCAGCACCTCAATCTCCACCCGGAACAGTTCCAGGGGATTCTCCAGGAAGACCTCTAGGTGCAGGACGCAGGAGGGGCTCTGCTTGCAGATTTGCTCGCGGTCGATCTTCTCGTTCACGTACAGCACCCCGGTTTCCAGGTTGAGGTCCAAGTAAGGGGTCCGCGAGTTGGGCACCGTTTGAAATCTGCGAGCCGAAAGTTTTGTAATGTCCAAGCCCAGATCTTCAGCGATATTTCCCACGAAAGTGCCATGGTCCTGCTCCTCCTGCACCGTGTAGTGAAGCTGGGAAAAGACTCCTTCCACCATCCAGAGCAAGGCAAAGAATAATAGCACAATCATCTCCAAAAGGAAGGGAAGCAGCTTTCCTTAGCCAGTCAGCCACCCAATCGCGTCCCCCACTACCACGAAAAAATTCTAAAAAATAAAAACACTAAAAACAAAACAAACAAACAAAAAAGTGTGCGGCGTGGGGGGTTCTTGTAGCTTTCTGTCTTTAAATATCTTATTCCTTTTGCTTTATTTTAGAGCTTCCTCCAATCCAGCCTCATTTTTCAATCTTAGCTCAGGAAGGGTGACAGATGCCCCCTCTCCTCATCTGTAATCTTCCCACTGACCAATTAATAAAATAATGATAACACAATAGTCAGCGTCCTTTATTCCGACAGTCTTGGCGCAACGCGGCTCTGGCAAATCCCAAGGAGGAAATTTCGATATTTCAAGACTGTCCTCGGTTTGTCTTCTTGCTGATGGGAGGCGAATGAGGAGGAGAAAAAGAAGGAGGAAGATGAAGAGAAAGAGGAGAAGGAAGAGGAGATGCAGCCGGCACCGCTGAACATGCCTCTTAATGTCAACGGCTGGCAAACGCGAGAGGGCTTAAAAACAGCGAGAGAATATCGTGCCGGAAAAAGAAGAAACGGCTCTGCAGCGTAAAACTTTCATTCTCTTCATTTCTCCGGTTGAATGTTCTTGACATTTTCCCCCCTTTCGCTCAATTTGTAGTTTTTGGCTTTCACACTCTCGTCTCTCTCTATCCTCTCCACCGGTAACTGCCTCTCAGTGAAAGTAACGGGCAATCTCGCTCCTGCTCTTTCCTTCCCAAGCCTCTTTCCCTCTAACCTGTCTGTTTTCCTTTCAGTCCTTCCTTCCTCCTGTTTCAGCCCCTCAGCCTGTGATCTCGGCTGGCAGTTTCTGAGCTCCGAGCGCTCGGCTCCTCTGTTTTTGCGCAGCGCCCTCATTCTGCCAACCAATCGTCGAGGAGCACCACCCACTGACCGAGTGTTCATTTGCCAATCTGGCAGTCAACCATACACGTCACGCTGCAACCGGGAGGGGCGGGACAAAACCCGCGCCCGGGCTGCCCGGGTGAGTGTGAGTGTGAGAGCGAGAACAGCCCGGCAGGTCCCGAGGCGCTGGCTGGGGACTCTACGTGGAAAGTTCCCAGTCCCCAGCCACAGGTAATGGGGAGGGAATTGAGAGGTTCCCCTGTTTGCATCAGCAATTGTGAAACCATAATAGCAACAGCTGCGGTATCCTCTCCAAGGAGCGGGATTTCCAATGATGCTAACATTCTTTTTCCTTTAAGGTATTTTCCCTGCTACTGATCATGGAAAGAAATCACCGAGAAGAGGAAAAAGTTGCACACGGGCTACTAATCGGCGGGGGTTACCTAATTAAGGGACTCTAAGCGAGATTGGCAGGAGGACATTTAAAAAGTAGATAGGATGTGACATGCGCCAGTCTAAGCGCGAGCATATAGGGTTCCGAGTGGAGAAGAGCAGAGCGGTGCGGCCGGGGAGAGTCCTAGAAAGCGGAGGGATTCAAGCCGGGGACAAGTACTGGAGGCGCCAGTAGACGTGCAGATGCGTTAGAAGTGCCTTTCCCTCCCTGAAAGCACAGTCACACAATTCTTACCGAGCAGACGAACAGATCTGGGGACCTGGCTTCCAGCTGTGAGTTCACTGATCAAAGTTTCATTTTCATTTAGGCTTTTGCCAGGAGCCTGGCTCTCCCGCCCGGGTTCTCAGCAGCACTGGGCCTTGCAAGTGGCTCCCGATATCCCTGCGCCGGGTCTGGCCCAGAGCCACGCAGCGGCCGGGAGCGCGCGCTATTTTCTGCTTTTTTTCCTGACATGTGGAGATTCCTCCCCTCCCCTCCGCGTCCCTCCCCGTGACAGTCTAGGGCTCACGCTTGCCCAGCCGAGGGTCCGCTGGCCTGGCGCGGACCGAGGGGCAGCTGAGAACGCGAGCGCGGGGCTGAGCCGGGTGCACCCCTGCGGGTATCTGCCAACACGTTGCACATTTGCCGTGCCCGCGTCCCCCCTCCTGGCCTCCGGCCACGGATCGGCGTGCACCCCGGCGGAGCCTCCCGAGTCCCGCAGGACGCGCTTGGCCAGCTCCGTGCCCACTGGCTAGGCGCAGCCAGTTCCTGTGAAGTTAAAGCCCAGCGCGAACTCTTCAAGGCCGAGTGTGGATCGCATGCCATTTCTCCAAAGCGAGATCCATAAGTACGTATATTTATAGTAAGGCATGCGCTTGTTGTTTATTCACTGAAACAGCACGGGTTCAGTTTCGTTCTTACGCTGGAGGACAGGAAGGTTCCCTAGCGGCTTTCTGGTAATCAGTGATCCGAGAGTAACACCACCACAACCTGCGAGGAAGGCACAGCCGCCTCCGACCCAGAGGTACGCGCCCTGCCCTTCAGTCAGGGAAATCCGCAGCTCCAGTGTCCACCGGTGTGGTCGTAGACCGAAGCGTGCTCCTGCGAGTCCCGCGAGTTCGTGTCCGCCGCCCGCCCGCCCACCCCCGAAACTTGGCTCTTTCCGGGAGAAGGGTCCTGCCTTCGAACTGGCAGGAGGAAAGGATGCCAGCAAAAATGGCTAATCCTCTTCCAGCCGCAGTAAACGGACGACTGGCCAAAGCCAAGCGAAAACCGCCGCAGTTAACATGATTTTAGCTTCACGTCTGAGGCTGAGACGGAGCGGCAGTGTATAAAACGACCTGTGGATCAATGAAAAGGAGATCGTAGCGTCTCCGAATATTAACACGGTATTGCATCTCTGTTTCCCACCCCTTCCCCTTCTGTGTTCATTCAGATCTGCTGGGTGGCAATGAAATGTTTCGAGGTCTTCAAGCTGACTCATCAGAATCACGGAGCCTTGTGAATGACGGTAATTTTCCGATATGTTTGTCTGTGCGTGTGGAAGTGTGTGTGCGCGTGTTTACGTGTGAGAGACATGCGGCTGAATGACAATGCAGATCCAGAATTATTTTGGGAAGGAGGGTTTCTCCATTGGAACCGTAGAGTGTTAGCCGATTTCGGGAGTTTGCTGAAAGCTAGGGAGCTATCAGAAGGGGTGATGACAACGAGGAGAGATGGCCAGATTGTCCTGTAAATAATCTCTGCATCCACTGTAACACTTGAACTGCTTTTTTTTTTTTTTTTTTTTTTTTTTTTTTTTGGATAGCAGATGTTTGGTAACGCTCCCCTCAAACGTGGGGCACAGGCGTCTCCTAGCGGCGAAAGCAGCATAGAGCAAGTCGGATAATTTTGCTTTGGAGCGGTCCTCGGGCGGAGTTCGCCTGTTGGGGGCTCTACTGGATTTCTTGGGTCACCAAAGCCTGTGTCTGCGACAGCGACTCCAGATCTGGGCTTCCAAAGGTCTCCTTTCTCTGATTTTTAGTCTCTCTGGAGGGGGCGGCGGCGGCGGCGGCAGCCAGACGGGTAACGGTGGGGTCTTCACAGAATAGCGCCCAGCCCGGCCTCCCCTGGTACCCTCTGAGAGGCATTCCACCCAAGGACCATTGCAAAAGCGTTTTGTTTGGAGCCAAGATTTAGATACTGACATTAACAGCCACGAATGCCTCCCTTACACATGAACTGTTAACATAAACCTAGCCTGTCACCCACAAACCAAAGCACTTTGAAGTAGCCTTTTAAAAATACTTTTAAAACACAGCAGGTTTACATTCTCTCTGACTGTGGCGCTCAGTATATCCTCCCCACTTGCTTTTTTGTTTGTTTTTGTATTTTTTTTAATACTATCTTCCTCCACCCTTTGACCCCAGATTTTTAAGAGTTCTTAATGGTATGCACACCGACCTTGGCAGTTAGGTAGATGAAATAGACATCTGAATGAACAGAATATCACATACACCCTGCATTCATTTTCGGACTCTGCATTCATTACTGGAGTGGGAAGGGAGAAATAAACAGAGTACACATATCACTCCCCCCCCCACCCTGACCCTAGAAACGCCAAAGTCAACAAGCTGCCTCTCAGAAAAAAAAGGATAAAAGGAGTCTGCATCTTGTGGAGAAAGATTATAAAAACCAATTTTCATATATCTTGGTTTATATGTGAGAGTGATAATGTACATTCATCTATTTTATTGGGTTCTAAGTACAGCAGAAGTAAGGAGGCATTAAGATTCTCCCAGAACATTTTACAAACTTTGAGACTAGGTTATGGGGTTGTTCTCTTCTCTGCCCTTCGCTGAAAAGGGCGGAACAGAAACAAGTGTGTTAACCAGCGTGTGAGTAAATGAGTGTTTGCAGTGATTTAACATGACTCAAAAGCAATTTGTTTCTAAATCCTCCTGTTATTGCAGTGTGCCCAGAGCTTTGAGAGCAGAAGCCCCCCCCTTTCTTTTAAAGAATTGGAAGACAAAATTTGAATTTATCATTAAGAGGTACTTCAAACTCCAGACTGAACCAAAACTGAGCTAGATAGGGCGCTTCTCATTTCCAGCAAGGACAGTTCAAAGTTCAAATGCAAAAGGCTAGGACTGAGTTGGGTCTCTTATGCGTGACCATGAAATAGGTTTACTTGCAGTGATGTAACCCAGTTTAACCGGAGAAAGGGGGAATCTTTGCCTCCCAGGCCATACAGCCAGTGTGTTAGCTTTTGTTCATCTGCAGTAAGAGTGAATAATAACGAGAGTTTCTGGGAAAGATGTATAACATACATTCTTGTAAGTATTCAGGAAACTCTAGTGATTGTCTTATAATGTTTTGAATCCCATGGAGAACAAACCATTCCTTCTTGGAACTGAGGAAACTAGATATTCTATTAAGTACTATTATCTTGATATTCAAAGCAGAAATTATTCAAAGCAGAAATGTGCTTCTCCATTTTGTTTAACCTAGCTAATATTGGTGTGGCTTCACATTTCAGTGTCTTCCCAGTTTGCAAACAGGGCCAGCATTTTGTTAAACTCTAAACAGTGAATTAAAAGCACTGAATGAGCTGAAACAGCCCTCTAATGCAAAATGACAAATTGCACTTAAGCAATACATGAACAAGAAAATGATTTATGGATTTTTACAATGGCCTGCACAAATGAAAGCAGCATGAATTATACATCCTAATGCTCACAATATCATTTTCTAATAATACTGTTTCAGTTCAGATACCGTATTCCTTTGTATAACAGAAATTGACCCATAAAAAGTCCAGAAGTATTTTGAAAGCAGGCAATGGCTTTGATATGGATTCTGTGTGTGTGTGTGTGTGTGTGTGTGTGTGTGTGATACAGATGTGTGTTTATGTCTGTATTATAGATATGCATACATATGTATACATTTTCCCTGGGTAATGGGGTGGGGTGAGTAATTAATATTGAGCACATACTCTTGCCACATCTTTTACATATCATATTTTTGCAATAAGTTGTCTTTTGCAAACTTATGTCATCCAACACTATCATTCAGAATGCAAATAGATAAATTTGACTTACAGTGACAACCTTTATTGCTTCATGACCTCCTTTTCTGAAAATCACAATGCATTACCTGTCTTATCTTTTTTGTTCCATTGCTTTGGACATTGGAAATGTTTTTGTCTTAAAAATGCCTCTTTAAAACTTCATTTTTGTTTTTATCCCTTTCAGAACATTGTTTTATCCCTTATTGTATTTAAGATACACTTTGCTTAATAAAAAGGTTGTGTACCTTTTTTTCTTCCTCTTTCTTTTCATTGTTTCTTCCTTTATCTTTTTTACTTTTAGTGGACAAAATATATATCATATTAGATATCTTGAATTACAGAGAACAAAATCAATCAGATAAAAATTATGTGATGCCTTTGTCTTAAGTTGGGAAAGATACAAAAAATTTAGTTATGTTTAAGTTAGGAAGAGCACTTCAAACATTTTTATGTAACTGTTTGTAGCTGGTACAGTGGGTGTTTTTTCAGAGATGTGTCCAATCCTAAGAGAAGGTAGTGCCTTTGCTGTGTTGCACATTCAATCACAGGAAGCTGATAATCACCCCGAGGCCTCTAGAGTCACATTATTAGGCTTAATCTTAATTATCCAGTTTTATAAAAAAAATGAAAGAGAGAAAAAGTGAATCCCAGTTTCAGCTTTTGACAGCATTAATAACCACTCTTACTGAAAGATTACTGAAATCAATTATGTGATTAGGATTGTAAATAAGAACTACAAGACATCATATTTAAAAAGCCAGCTGCTTTGCTAACAGGGAGATGTGTAGGTTTTACTGATGGAGCCCAGAGGCAGAAAATGAAGCTTGAAACATTGAGATCGATATAGAACAATTTGAAAAATTAATTGCAAGTCCTGATTAACTTTATATGAGTAAGAAGAAGATGTCCAGAAAGAACTGTTTCTTTTTTTCTTCCTCAGCGGTTTCAGTCTTATTTGACAGCAATCCAAAGCCAGCATAGTACTAGTGTTTTTCTGGTAAGTGTAAATTGTTTTCTTAAGGGAAACTCCTTGGTTTTCTAAATACAGAATGAGATTATCCAAATTGTAATTGAGGTTACAAGCCATAAAGCTGCATTCTAAAGAGTTTTAAAATATTATCAGAGACAAACACTGTGGAAAAACTGTCAAACATAACTTGAGAATTCCATTAGTAACTGGAATTAAATTAGAATTACAATAGAAAACCACAATAAACAAATAGGTCTTTTAGTTTAAAAAACCACTCCCATTTGCATTGCTCAGATATATAATTCTTTGTATAAAGAACTTGATTTTCATGATACTTTATATAAATGAGCTTGTAATACCATAAAATGCTTTATTTTACTACATTTTTAAGTGAATTTAACTGGTAGTTTTAAAGTATTATGTCAATAATATTTTTATACTACTTCCCCATCCCTATAAATGTTATTATTTCAACATTATAGATAAGGTCACAAATGATTTTTTGAGTGGAAGTAACTCATCGCTCTCATACAGAATCCAAATCCAAGTCTTTTGATATTTCTGTTCAGATCAGATTCATTTTATTACACCTCGGTGTTTCTTCGGTCTATCCGAATGGACAGTGGGTTAATTTAGACGTGGTTCATCTACATTTTGGAGTGATAGGAGTATTAATTTTGTTATCATTAAAAGTGGCTAGTACATCATTGAGTTGTGTCATGGAGGAACTCATAAACATGTTTCACTTTGGAAACCCCCCCC